TTAATGATTCTTAGGACAGATAATGGAGGAGAATTCAACTCAACCAAGTTTAAAGAGTTTCTCACTCAAAAAGGAATCAAACATCAGTTGACAGTTGCTTATAACCCTCAACAAAATGGAGTTTGTGAGCGAAAAAATAGGACAGTGATGGAGATGACCCGTTGTTTGTTATTTGAGAAAGATTTGCCAAAGGAATTTTGGGCTGAGGTTGTTAATGTTGCTGTGCATTTACTTAATGTTCTCCTAACAAAAGCTTTAAATGTTAAATGCCCCTATAAAGCTTGGCATGTACAAAACCATCAATAACACACCTCAAGATTTTTGGGTGCATTTGTTATGCCAAGATTCCTGATGGAAAGAGAACAAAACTTGACCCTAAGTCTCAATTGGCAAATCACTTGGGCTGTAGCAATCTGTCAAAGGGTTATCGATTATATGACCTGAAAACTAAAAAGATTTTTGTAAGCCGCGATGTGAAATTCGATGAAGACTTGAAGTGGAATTGGAATAATGCTACTGTTGAGAACTCAAAGTCAAACAATGCTACTGGTGATGTGAATGAAGGTTTGAAGTGGAATTGGGAAATAGCTGCTGATGAGAATAATGCTGATGGTGATGAGAATCTAATTGATGATGAGGAAAGTATGGATGAGAATGATGAAAGCTTGGCTGTTCGAGGAACAAGACCACTTCTATTAATTTATAGTAGATGCAATATGGCAGTAATTGAACCAAATGAAGTTTCAGAAGCCTTAAAAGATGAGAAATGGAAAGAAGCAATGGATGTTGAAATGCAAATGATAGCAAGGAACAAGACATGGTATTTAGTAGACAGACCTCAGGAGCAAAAGGTAATTGGTGTTAAATGGATATTTAAAACCAAGCTGAATCCAGATGGGTCTGTTAACAAATTAAAGGCCAGATTAGAAGTAAAAGGATATTCACAAGTTCAAGGAGTAGACTTTGAAGAGACCTTTGCACCGGTGGCTCGATATGACACCATTTGAATCTTAACAGCACTTGCAGTCCAAGAAAATTGGTCCATTTGGCATCTGGACGTGAAATCGGCTTTCTTGAATGGGGTTATATCAGATGACATTTATGTTGAACAGTGTTGGGAAAATTGCAGAATTATCTCTAAAGAGTTGCCCAAGATCTTACCCAATCAATAGAATAAGGAAAGAAAAAGAATCAAGCACACCCACAAGAACACAAGAATTTACGTGATTCGGTCTTTTGATGACCTACGTCCACGGCACAGCAACCGAGAAAGATTCATTAAGAGAAACACAGGAGATTACAAGAACAGTCTAACTCACAACCCTTATCCCACGTACACCCAAATCACTCTCTCTAAATCTAGGTGATGACTATTCTTTAACCCCATAGGGTTCTTTTATAGTACCAAATAATCTTATCCTAATACAATTAGGATATATTATTTTAGTCTAACTAGATTTAAAGACTATTTAATAAGGTATACTAGTTTAATTAAAATTAAACAATCCTAGTCACAGTAAAATTCAAGACTATCCTAACAAATCTCCACCTTAGGCTTGAATTACCAAGCTCCACCTTACGAACCAATCTCTGTCGACACCGCCAATGCCCCACAGGGCCTCAAGCACTACGAACACCGATCAAGTCCAAGCAATGCTTGAACTTTATCCCAGAAACTGACTTAGTTAATATATCTGCCGGATTTTCATCTGTAGCTATTTTCTTCACTACAATGTCACCTCTAGAAACAATCTCACGAACGAAGTTACACTTGACTTGGATGTGTTTGGTTCTTTCATGAAACATTTGATTTTTTGTCAAATGTATAGCACTTTGACTATCACAAAACACAACTGTATGTGCTTGTTCAAAACCAAGATCACTAACCAAGCCTTTAAGCCATAAAGCCTCTTTCACTGCCTCGGTCACAGCCATATATTCAGCTTCAGTTGTAGACAAAGCAACGGTTGATTGAAGAACTGCTTTCCAACTGATTTCAGACCCTGAGAGAGTGAACACATACCTCGTTTGAGATCTTCTACTATCTAGATCACCAGCGAAATCTGAATCGGAAAAGCCAACCACATTACAACTAGTGTTTGCACTTCCTTCATACACTAAGCCAACATCTATAGTGCCTTTAGGTGTTTTCACAAGCTTCCATGTTTGATCCCAATGTAGAGACTCAATCTTCTTAGAAGATTCGGCATATGAAATTACCTCACGATAAAAGTATGGCTCATCAATCTCTACTTCCACAGAAAAAACATAAGAATCAAAATCACCATCGATACAAGTAATGCTTCGTTGAGATACCAATTCTTGTACCTTTTGCAATTCATTCTGGATTTTACTATCCTCTCGCACTATCACAGGAGCATTGATTTCAAGCTCCACCTGCTTTCTAACTTCCTGGTCTGTTGTGTTTGCAATTCTAGACTGTATCCCACGAAGTAATGCAGACTTGTCAAAGGTAACATCCCGACTCACTATAAACTTGGGGGACTTACAATCAGTACACCACAACCGATAACCCTTCACCCCATATGCATAACCTAGGAATATGCACTCCGTCGCCCTCAACTCAAGTTTACCATCACTCACATGAGTATAAACAGGACAACCAAATACTCTTAGTATAGAATAATCAGCAGGTTTACCTGACCAAACTTCCTCGGGAGTCTTTAATTCAATTGCAATTGATGGAGACCGATTTACTAAGTAGCAAGCATTGTGGATAGTTTCTATCCAGAATAGTTTGGGTAGGCCAACATTAGAGAGCATGCATCTTGCTCTTTTCAGAAATGTTTTCTTCACCCATTCTACAATACTGTTTTGATGTGGTGTTTTGATGACAGTGCGATGTCTAACAATTTCCTCATTCTTGTAGAATAGACCAAACTCACCTTTGCAAAAGTCCAAACCTTTGTTTGTTTGAAAGCTCTCGATCCTTTTCTTAGTCTGCTTCTCGATCAATACTTTCCAATGCAAAAAGGTGGTCAACACTTCACTCATAACCTTCAGAAAATATGTCCACACCTTTCTTGAAAAATTATCAATAAAGGTCCACTTGTATAATGATCCACCTTTTGATGCCACCGGAGAAAAATCCCACTTTCTAATCCTTCTCTCGCTCATATGACCCAATCTCATATGCCATAAATGTGTTACATCATCTTCAGGATCATTAGATGAGACCACGGAAACAGTTTCAATGACCGTGTTTCCCATTAGACGATAAAGATCATTGGATAACTTGCCCTTCATGATAGTTAAGGCTCCTTTAGATACCTTCAAGACACCATCTTGGCCACTGTATTTATAACCTTTCTTATCTAACAAACTCAAGGATAATAAATTCTTTTTCATGTCAGGTACATGTTTCACCTCAAGTGCCCTTACTATACCATCAAACATCTTGATTCGAATTGTGCCAATCCCAACAACTGAGAGAGAGAAATCATCTCCTAATTGTACAGTGCCCATATCAACAGATTGATAAGTTGTAAACCAATCACGCCTAGGACATATGTGGAAGCAACAAGCCGAATCTAAGATCCATGTATCCTTCAGGTTATCATTAGTAACTGCAAGAACATTATCAACTTCCTCAAAAGTATCAAAATCATCTTCAACTACGTTTGCAGTATTTTCAGACGTATTGATCTTTTCGTCACCCTTGAATTTAGTACAGTCTTGACGAAAGTGACCTTTCTTACCACAATTCCAGCAAGTTTTTCCTTTTGTTCTATATCTACCTTTTCTGTCTATACCCTTCTCTGTATCTTTTCCTCTATTCACAACTAAACCTTCTGCTTGATTTTCATTCCTGATACCACCAACTTTCTTTTTCAATTCCTTGGAATTTAAAGATGCCCTTACATCCTCGAAAGTGAGAGTGTCTCGGCCATATAACATAGTATCCACAAAGTTTTCATACGATGGAGGCAAAGAACATAGAAGAATTAGGGCCAGGTCTTCATCATCAATTTTAACACCGATATTCTTTAAATCAAGAACAACCCTATTAAATTCATCAATGTGGGTATTAACGGACATACCTTCACTCATCTTGAGAGTATACAATCGTTGCTTCATATAAAGCCGATTCGTTAGGGATTTGGTCATATAAATACTTTCGAGTTTAAGCCACACTGCAGCAGCAGATTCTTCATCCGTGACTTCTCTTAGTACCTCATCAGACAAAGTTAGGAGAATAGCACTATGTGCTTTTTCCATAAGGTCATCTTTCTCACCATCAGATAAATTCGAGGGAAGATGTTCTTTTCCCTTCAATGCCTTCAACAGTCCTTGTTGCACTAGCAATGCGCGCATCTTAACACGCCACAGGCTGAAATCGTTTCTTCCATTAAACTTTTCAATCTCATACTTGGTCGACGAAGTTGCCATAGCGAGATTCAGATTGACTTAAAACCTTGATGCTCTGATACCAGTTTGTTGGGAAAATTACGGAATTATCTCTAAAGAGTTGCCCAAGATCTTACCCAATCAATAGAATAAGGAAAGAAAGAAATCAAGCACACCCACAAGAACACAAGAATTTACGTGATTCGGTCTTTTGATGACCTACGTCCACGGGCACAGAACCGAGAAAGATTCATTAAGAGAAATCAAGAGATTACAAGAACAGTCTCAAACTCACAACCCTTATCCCACGTACACCCAAATCACTCTCTCTAAATCTAGGTGATGACTATTCTTTAACCCCATAGGGTTCTTTTATAGTACCAAATAATCTTATCCTAATACAATTAGGATATATTATTTTAGTCTAACTAGATTTAAAGACTATTTAATAAGGTATACTAGTTTAATTAAAATTAAACAATCCTAGTCACAGTAAAATTCAAGACTATCCTAACAAACAGCCTAAAGGTTATGTGTTACAGGGAAAAGAAGACAAGGTGTGCAAACTTGTCAAGGCTCTCTATGGACTCAAGCAAGCCCCAAGAGCATGGTGTGACAGGATTGACAGTTACATGCGAGAAAAAAGATTTATTCGCAGCAACAATGAAGCTACACTCTATGTTAAGAAACCTGGTAACGCTGTGAAACTGATTGTATCAGTGTATGTTGATGATTTGTTAATAACAGGCCCTGATGATGAGTTTCTGAAGGAATTCAAAGCTCAAATAAAGTCCGAATTTGATATGACCGACTTAGGAAAAATGTCTTACTTCCTAGGATTGGAGTTTAAGCAATTGGAAGATCAAATTTTTCTCCATCAAAGTAAATATGCTGAGGATTTGCTCAAAAAATTCAGTATGAACTTCTAAACCAGCTCCAACGCCACTAACTATGGGTTTGAAACTCAGCAAAGATGATGGTGAGATTAAAACTGATGCTCGACTCTATAGAAGCATAATAGGATGCCTTCTATACTTGTCAGCTACCTGGCTTGATATTATGTTTGCCACTAGTCTCTTATCTAGATTTATGCAGCAACCATCAATGATGCAAATGAAAGCTGCAAAAAGAATCTTGAGGTACATCAGAGGCACAACAACATTTGGGCTTAAGTTTGTGAAACAGGGCAGTAATCATCTACAAGGTCATTGTGACAGTGACTGGGCCGGCAGTGTGGACGATTCAAAGAGTACCACTGGCTATTGCTTCTCATTTGGAGGTGCAATCTTCTCCTGGAACTCAAGGAAACAGGAGGTGGTAGCTCATTTTTCGACTGAGGCAGAATATATAGCAGCATCTTCAGCAACTAATCATGTGTTATGGCTCAGGAAATGGCTTGATGATCTAGGTTTTAGGTAATTTATTGGCATTGTCTTATGGGTAGATAATATGTCTGCAATTTCGATAGCAAAAAACCCAGTGCAGCACGCAAGAACCAAACATATTCGAGTGAAGTTTCACTCAATCAGAGAAGCTGTGAAGAATGATGAAGTTGTAATCAAGCACTGCAGCACCAATGATCAAGCTGTTGATATCTTCACAAAAAGCTTGAACCAAGATAAGTTTTATTTTTTCAGGAGCAAGCTTGGAATATGCGAGATAAATTCCAAGGAGGTGTGTTAAAACTGGAATGTATCTCAGCTGCAATGGAGGATGGTTTAATGATGCTTTGAATAGGTGGAGATGAGATCACGAGTAGCAGCATGTGACCAGTTTAAAATAGCAGTTTATGCATTAGTTATTTTCAGTTTTTTTGTCTTTAGCATTATGTCAATTTAGCAACGTGAATTTACCATGTTGACCACTAATATCATGCTACAGCAGAAACAGTTATTGGTGATTTTATTGATTAGTTATGTACTAATCTTTTGTTTTTTATTTTGCTCTCTCTGTTCTGTAACTACTGGATATATATGCTTAATGAAAAACACAACATTGTGTCTTTGTCTTCATAGTTTTCTTTTGGCTTGATTAAGTTTCAATGTATTTTCTTTTTGTTCATTTTTTCTGAACATCTTAACAGAGCATAATTTTCGAAAATTGTTTGACCGCTTGCTTCTTGATTAAAGATGTTTAATCTATTACCACATTCTTCACCAAAATATTTTCCAAACAATTGGATGGTTTCCTCTCTTAAGCTATCGCATGAAAATACTTTATATTCCTACCACCCTCAGAAACCCATTTAGTCCTAGACTACTGTTTCCATTTTTGTTCCTCAACTCTGTAATGTTCCCATAATTCAACCCGTTTTTTCATAACTCGTTCTCTAATTACCACATCACTAGTTTTTTTTTGTCAATCCTCCTCCATTTCTTTGATTTCTGTTTCCAATGTCTCAATTTTCCGTTTAACCACTCTATACCTTTTAAGACTCCACTCCACAACATACATCTTAAATATTTTAACCCCCACCACACACTTAGACTTCTAAGATTACCTATCTTTAATTTCTCTCAATTTTGTTTGACCAACTCATGAAAGTAACTACCATCGTATTAGTAATTAAAAGAACAAAAAGATTCAGGGCCTAATCACAGCTCTTGCTATCCAAAAACACTAGATTATGATTAGATAAGGCCCTAGCCAAACACTTTTGTACCATATCATTATATGGATGTAACCACATGCAGTTATCCGAAAATGATCAAGCCTGCAGAAACTAACTTCTTCCCTTCTACTACTCCAAATATATTGACCCTTCAAAAATTGTTGATCCATTAAGCAAGCATCTTGAATGAAATTTGCAAGATTAGAAGTCGATCTAAAGATGTCACACTTACCCATTTTTTCATCATCATTTCTCATCTTTTCTCCCGTACACATCCCTCTAACATTCCATGTTAATGCATTCATAAATACATAAACACATTAAGCTCAGAACATCAAAACGAAAAAACTTTATCAAATAATCATACCTTGCTCCTCTTTTTTCAATGCAACTACGGTTTGCAACACATCATCCTTTGAATTAACAAAATGAATTCCCAATATTTTTTCTTTCACTAACCAAGTCATTTCTGTCTCATGTAAACAGTCACTTTTTTACCTTGACGGTACATTAATGCTTGAACTCCTTGTAGAACTTTTCCCTTATCTCAAGCTACTTCGTAATACCTTAGAACTGTCCTATATTTTTTATTTATTCTCATAATATTTCCTTCCTTTGGGCCTTCCCCTACCTCTTTTTATCACATTGTCATTTCCATTACCCACCACACCCTCCATACCACATTCAATGTCATGGCAATCATCCTCTTTTCCTTCACTATCATCATTCTCCAACCTCTTCCCCCAATATTCATTTTCAACCTCCATAATTTTGGATATAATAAGACTCATATCATAGTTTCCTATATCCGCTGAATTTTGGGAAACTATATGCAGTTCCTTCTCAGTAAATAAATATAATTTATCCATAGCCAATGCTGTGATGTCTAATTGTTGGTCGGATTAATACATGCAAGTGCACGTGGCTGTACAAGTAATATAAAGTAAATTGAGTATCATTTCCCACAGAGATTTATACTTATATTTACTAAGTATCAAATTTATAACACAATATATCTTATCCAAGCACTTGAGTTCAATTATTCAGTCTAAATTATATCATTTTCATACTAAAATGATATAAAATGTCACTAAACCCTAAACCCTAAAAATGATTAATTAACTAATTAAATTACCAACGAATAAAATGTCACTACACAAAACATTTACTCAAAACTTAGGATTATGATGCCTTTCAAAACTTCGTATGAATTATATCATTTTCCTTAACTTAGATTAATGAAATATATGGCTAACCTAGAATCCAAATTATATACACATCTTTGTTGAAATCATACACATGTACCTTTTCAAAATTAACCCCATATATCTATGCAAATTTAATTAGAAAAAGTTCATTGACTAGCTAAAGTATTTAGGTATATGTCTATCCTAAACATGAAACTATCACCTAACTTCGAAGTGAGTTGAACAAAAGCTATTCAAAACTATGGTCTATTATAAACTCCCCTTGTTAAGTTTCATTTAAAGACCTAAGACCCAAGACATTTCAACTGGTGATCAAGTAGTGAAAAGTATTAAGTGCATAACTGAATAAACCATGCAATTTCCATTAATACCAAGCAAGGAAAATCAAATATTCAAACTACATAGTAAAATATCCCATAATCTTGGAAAACAAAATTAGTTCATCATTATGTTTATAGCAGACATGATTAAATCAAAAGAAAAGACCATTTTTACAGCAAAATAACAAGAAAGAAATGAAAAGTAAAGAAATATCAAATCCTCTTGCGATTCTTGATCTTCTATTTCTTCTCGTTTTCCTTGTTGAAAACTTTTCTCTTTTCTTTCAAAACCGGTTGTTCATTGCCACTCTAAACCCTTTTTCTCAACTGCCAAAAAGATTTACTTATAGCTTCCAAAAACCCTAAAACTCAATTCTTGATTGGTTGAATTCTCATAATCCACGTCAGAGCATCACAACCTTGCTCTAAGGGTGTTGCGGCGCTCCTCACTTATAAAAATTTGTTGCCTATTTTCCATCTAGCGTTATGACTCTCCTTCTTGGGTGGTGCGGTGTTAGATTCTCTGGTTTTTGCATGGGTGTTTGGATGCACCCTTGGACAATGCGACCTTGACCTCTACAAGGCCGCGGCATTGCTCGTCCTTATGCTGCCTTGGTGCAGACTGAAGCAGTGCTTCATCTTGTAACGGAATTTTCTCCTAGCTTGAGGTTGATCTAGGTGAAATGGTAAACAGGAAAGTTGTAGATCTGCCTCTCAACTTTCCTATGGTCCAAGAATTACATTGCTTGGATCTCTGTAGCTCCAGTTATGTCCTAATTACTGCAATATGTTTAGTGAAAATCTGTACTTAGTCTTCAATGCATAATTCATCATCATTCAACTTTATGCACTTGAAAATCTAGAAACACAAGGACCTAATCAGCATTGACTTAAAATAGGACTTTTAACATGAAAATATACTATAATTACATGAATTAAACTAAATTCATATGCTTTAAACTAATCGACCAAAAACATAAAAGTTGTTAAAAAACTACTTAAGCACAAGGACTTAGCTACATTAATATCCCAAAATGTGGTTAAATAACTCTATATAATAGAGTTATCACTAACACCTCCTTTGAGCTCCCTAACCTGCAATATGCTTTATATACTGAGATCGGGTTATAATTAAAACTATCTGCCTTATGAAGACAACTTAATGATAAATTATTCCCTCTATTTGCATCACCACTGCATCCATTGAACATTTCTTTTGGCATGTCTGAATTGATACCGCATGATTGTGACCTTTTAATGGAAGAATCCTCCATAATTGCTCCTTGAATTGGTTCGGCCGCTACATTAGCTGCAAGATTTTTTTTTTCCTTATATTACTTTGGGAATTAATATTTGCAATGATCTAGCCATCCTTTACATCCATGCAATGGTCTTTATCTGCCAACCTGACACATGAATCCAAATCCTCCTTGACTCCATTATTAGCATTTAAATCCTTAGCTATTTTTTAGTAACCAAAACACAATCTTGCTTAGCCGCAACCTATGCTTCTTTTAAATTTTGAATAATATTTGAATCCTTCAAATTATCCCTAACACCATCATATTTGAATTTTATATTGTCCATGTGCACTGTACAAGTTGAACCAGCCACCACTTGAGCTTTTATTTTCACCTGATCAGAATTCTTACACTCGGTTGGCCCTCCAAAACCCATTGGGTTCACATAGACAACCTCCCATATAGATAATCGTAACCCAATCTTTTCACGGCCAACTTCAATTTGTATTGATGCGGGGATTGAGCATGGACTTGAAATAAATTATTTTGGTTCAAACCATGACTAAAATTATTTTGGTTCAAAGTGTCTTAATCCACCTTCACAAATTCACCCCAACAATTACCAATAGCTTGAAATAAATTCAAATGCCATAGATGCAGTGTAATCTTTTGAACTTTCCCCTAAACAAAAAAATTCCATTTTATCATGAATCCTATCATAAGGAACCAAGTTCTCAAACCATTCTTTACAACAATCAAAATACTATTCAATAATTACCTCCATTTCATCTTTTCTTTGAAAAGTGACTACCACACGAAGGCTTCCAACTTCCCTTACTTGAACGGTTACTCCTTTCTTGCCTAATTGTTATTGCACCCCTTGAATGTTACTTCCTATTTTTACATATCTAATAGCTCTCCTCTACAACCATTCATCATTCATTCTAAGGATGAAAACTTGAACTCTTTTTTGTTCAACAACCTTATTTACCTTTTTAGGAGGCTGCACTATAGGCAGATCACCCTTTTCTTTTGAGAACCGTCCAAAACATCTCTAAATGAAGGCACATATCCCTTATACTGGTCAATCTCATAGGCTTTTTTCACAACAATTCTTCAACCGAATATCACCATTCCATTCCCTAAGCAGATTGCTAAATTTCGTTCATTCTCAAAACGGTATATTCCAAAGGCATAAGTTAGATTACTATTTCAAATACCACAAGGAACGAAAATATCCACTACCACACTAAACTAATCAAACACTGATTTGATACTAGCCCAAGACATAACTTTCACCAAA